TATTCAGCAATTATTCGTAACTTATATTAGGCATGAAAGAAGTTGCATTTTGGAAATTGGTTTTTAAGCAACATGAGAAAATAGTGGCATGTGACAATATTTGCTAGTTCTCAGACTTGCGGCATGATTTTGATCTGTTGAATTTCAGGAAAGAAGAAAAAGAAGAGAATGCACTTACCTCCTAATGGTAATGTTTGGTTACTTTATTGTTTGAGATTGTCTTTAACTTCTACTATTATTCGGTTTTAGTGGTTGAGACTTTTTAGCTTAGCTTCATTCATTTTTTTTTTCTCATTTTCCCCAGGCAAAATTTACCTTTTCCTATCTAACATTAATGATCAATTCTATTGACTTCTTGGATGCAGTTGCAGAGATTCAGTGGAGAACTAACCAGGACCTTGCAGCTGAGAATTACATGATGTCTATGGGGCCTTGTGCTTATAATCCATATTGGACTGGCATCCAACCTGGAATGGAGGCATTTGTACCCCCTTATGGTGGTCCCATGCCCTATATGGGTGGGTTTAGTCATATGGATCTTGCATTGGGAGGTGTCTTACCTCCTGACCCATTTGCGGGACCGGGTTTTATGTTGCCTTATGGCCCACCTCAGAGGTATAATTCAGTTTACGTTCTATTAGTCTCTCTCTCTTTCATAATTCATATTACTTTTCTTTGTGCATCTCTTCTAAGGGTGAACTTTGTATCTCTGACATGGAATATGGTGGTTTAGCTACTTTGCTTTGAGTTGGTCGTGGGGGTTCACTGCTATACAATATGCGTGTGATGCTCGTTAACATTTTCCTCGATAAGAATAATGTATAACTGTTTCGTGGACTTTTAACAATATCAGGGACCTTGCAGACTTAGCAATGGGATTTAACACTGGGCCAAGGAAAATGAGCAGAGAGGATTTTGAAGCTCGTAATGCTGATTTCAAAAGGAAGCGTGAAATGGAGAGGAATGGTATTAGGTAATGAGGACCAACTTTGCATTCTGTTTTCTATTTAATGTCGTAATTTTAGATATTTTCAAAGACATATTGTATTTATTTTCTATTTCAACATCAAAGGTATAGTTTTTGTATTGTTGAGCTTAAACTTAATGATACGGACCTGAAAAATATGATTGCTTGACTAGCAGTTTCAACTCTTTGATAGGTTCTCTTGCAAGATTATTAGGTACACATCAAGCTTTTGGAACATGTCTATAAGCAATTGTTGTGCTCCACTTGATTTGTGTTGAAAATTTTTGGCCTTTCAGACTTGTTTGGGAAATTTTTTTAAAAAATCAATTTTCCTCAATGTCATTTTCAACCACATTCTATGGGACCCATGACTTTTTCCTACTTTTTAACTACAAAGACTCCAAAAAAAAATAAGAAAAAAAAATCATTTTTTCACTTGGAAAAATCTCTCCAAAACAAGTACTTACTGTTTTTTCCTTCTGTCTTTTGAGTATTTAGAACCATTTTCGTGCATGCATCAATGTTTGTTCATACTGGATTTGAATTTTATAACCTACTTAAGTTAATAATGATTAGTGCATTACGTTATCACTTATTTGTACCTTTAAGCTCTTTTAATTCAATTACTCGGATTCTTTATTATTCAGGGAGTTACCCAAGGATCAGGAATATGGTAGAGAAATGAGCAGCACTGGCAACATTTCTTCTATGAAAGCCAAATCTGTATGCAGTTTGGTTATCCAACTTCTATATGTTACATATGTGCACTAATGCAGGAAGAGTTCATTAAGGAGAGTACAAATTTTGTTTCTGTCTGCCGCTGTTGGAATCATCCAATTAGGATATGTTTTAAAATGACAGAGAGCGGGAGGTTTTCATAATCATGTCCTTACATGTCTCCCCTAATGCTTGTGTCTGAATGTCAAAAGCGGTGGATCAGGATATATCTAATAAAATTTGGAATGTTTACCTTCCATGTTGAGTACCTGTTTTAATTTATGTTTATATTTAAAAATATATATATACATTTACTTAACATTACACCAGCAATGACATGGAATTTAAATGGGTGGTATAGATGAGGTGATACCAGTACATCTTTTAGATTTTTGTTGTGGCCTTTCCTTTATTTATTTTTTTGCTCCTCGGACCCGTATGATTGTGCCCTTCATCTCCTGCTAAATTCTCCCCCCTCCCCCCTTGGCCTTGGGGGCTTCTATTTGCTCTACTTTACAGAGCTTGATTCTGAACCACCCACGGCACTTGTTGAATAAGATCTTAGAAAGTCGTGTACAAATAATTTGTTATCTGAATTACAGTTTATCTCTAATTGGCTTAAGACTGACATGGAACTTTTGGTCTTATAAGGGCATTGTTGATGTTCAATGGATTTGTTTGGATCATGAAAAGCTAATAATCAAACTCGCAAGGAAAATTTTCAAACCATGAATATATGTTGCCAATGCCTACTAATGTGTGAATTTGGTGTTGCTATGTACCAGTGAGGCGACATAAGTGATTAACCAATAGAATTTAGAAATTTAGCAAGATTGAAAGAGTTGTATGGTTTAATATGGTGGACTGGAATTTGTTTGGTGCAATAATTAGCATAAAATTTGTTGGAAGTTATTTGATTCTGAACTTGGTGTTTTTATTTCCTACTGCTAATGCAGAAGTCTATTCCTCCTCCGCCCAGTGGAGACCAGCATCAGCACTATCTCCGCCAACCTGAGAGACCATCCCTAGATGGACGTTCCTGTGACACTGAACTTCCTCGCCTGTCATCTAAGAGAAAATCCGACTATGATGGATACCACCACCTTCACAACTCTGATGGCTACCATCAACAAGATCAGGGAGAAGATCCTTGTCCATCATCCAAGAGTAAATCCAGCTATGATCATCACCACCACCTCGACAATGGCTATCATCACCAAGAAGATCATGACCGCAGTGACTATCCTGAGAACCACCGGCATCGTGATTATCACAACCGCAGCAGCCGCCGTGGATTGGAGTCATCATCAGCTGCTAAACCTCCCCCATCAGTAGCACCTGCAGCGTTGGCCAGTAGTACCTTGACGAACGACCAGAAGCAAAAACCAAGCATCTTTTCTCGCATCAGTTACCCAGAAAAAGACGTGGCAGCTTCCAAGAAAAGAAAGGTGTCTTCAACCACCACAGTACCAGGCAGCACTTCCGGAAGCCACAGGGTGTCAGCGTCTAATGGGTATCATGAAGAGCATAAACCAGTAGCTGGGTCAAGAAAAAATGCTGCTGCTTCTGTGGAATATGAGAGCAGCGATGATGAGAGGCATTTCAAGAGAAGGCCAACAAAGTACACCTCATCACCACCTCTGGCTGCTGCCGGGAAGTGGGAGAGCAAGGAGTCAAGGCATTCCCGAGGATCAAGGGAGAGGGAACGTGACAGAGATCGTTATGGCAAGCATGGATGATACCATTTCTCTCTGATGTGGGATGGTGAATGCAATATGCCCAAGATGTAGTAGTATAGACTTTGGGGAGACTTGAATCTGTTAAGGAGCTTTCAATATTTTAGCTCCATGTTTACTTTTTAATATTTATTATAGCAGGGAGAATAAAATACTTTGTATATCAGTGACATTGATGATTGATTTGTTTTCTTTCACTATGCCCGTGATATTTGCTTTATGTTAATCAATTCTGGTACTTGTTATTTGCTTTCTTGTTTCTTTATTTGCCTTCATAGACTCATTTAAACTTGGGGATATACATTCTTCTATATGATTGATTTCAGATCCTCGACAGACCTAACTCAACAGAATCCATTCTGTTTTGCTATTCGTGCACTTGAGAATGAAACAATGAAGAGTCTCCTAAGACCAAATGCTTTGCAATTCAAGAACAAAATCCTTTGTCATCAACAGAATACACAACCGATGCACGATAAAGATAGCTGATGCCTGATGCACAAGGATAGAAATCATTTTCATTCTAACTTTGATATGAGATTAAGAATTACACTTTGAAAAGACCTACAGGAATGTATTATGATTACTGTTATAGATGTGGCTTAAATTTGACGGTGGATGCAAACGTGTGAAGTATTTTCAGTAGCGACTTGGAGATATTAACGGTTTGAGTCAATGGCCATTTTAACACAGCTTACTCGTCTCCCATAGCTAACTCCAATGCATAGTCGTCTCTATCCTGCAAAACCAAACACAACATGACCTTCAGAACTGGTTCTGAGGAACCCCTTTTGATGCTAAACACTTTTCTCTATTAATGCCTTTATCAATTTTATTACTTTTAGGTCCAAGAAAAATTCTTGTGCCAAAGACTTAATATTAATGTAAGACTTACAATAGGTCCTCGGGCAAAATATCGTCCAAATTGAAGCCAATACACCTGCAAATATCACAATTTAAAATCTTTATGTACCAGAAAGCGAATTAAATCATATAGTAAAACTGCAATTTACTATATGAACCCCNAAACGTGTGAAGTATTTTCAGTAGCTACTAGCAGATATTAACGGTTTGAGTCAATGACCATTTTAACACAGCTTACTCGTCTCCCATAGCTAACTCCAATGCATAGTCGTCTCTATCCTGCAAAACCAAACACAACATGACCTTCAGAACTGGTTCTGAGGAACCCCTTTTGATACTAAACACTTTTCTCTATTAATGTCTTTATCAATTTTATTACTTCCAAAGACTTAATATTAATGTAAGACTTACAATAGGTCCTCGGGCAAAATATCGTCCAAATTGAAGCCAATACACCTGCAAATATCACAATTTAAAATCTTTACGTACCAGAAAGCGAATTAAATCATATAGCCCCCGTTTGGCACCCATTAATTTCTCATTCTTATTTCCATTCTCATTCTCATTCTTCATTTCAACCACACATTCTCTAAATAAAATACTATTATACACAAATCAAAAACTTTTCATCACTTTTCCACCACACATTCTCACATTAATCACTATTCCAAAATTTCTATTCTCCTCAAAATTAGATTCAAACACACCCATAGTAAGAACTGCAATTTACTATATGAACCCCNAATTTCTATTCTCTTCAAAATTAGATTCATACACTCCCTTAGTATGATCTGCTATTTACTTTATGATCCCGTCAGCTTGCTCGGGAGCATTGACATTGTTAAAACCTTTGGCTAGTGGCTTGAAAGTGACAGGGAGATTGTCACGAACTTCTAATAGTAATATAGACTGCATAATAGTAGTAATATAATAGAATTTCAATGCACAAATATGCTTGCCTTTAAAACTATATCTCTACTAATTGAATTCTTAATCCGTTCTAAAACACGGAGAATGTATTTAACAAACTGAATGGAGAAATTTATTTATACTACCTCATCCTCATCTTGAGTTTCAACCTCGAGGTCAGACGACGGAAAGCCCACACAGAGAAGTGCATACCCCTACATCTCAGAAAAATAGATTTGAATTTACAATTAGTTGTCAGCAATTTCAAAGGGAAATGTACATAAAAAACAGGGATCAGGTGGTTTTAGGGGAATCAAATGCATATCAGAAGTCAAGCAGAATATCAGTTATTTTTCCGTAGACCATTTGAAACTCTTTTAGTACCTTCAACTTCTACCGGTTATAACGCTTCATTGACCAAATCTTTATGTGGTTTCTACATGTTTGATTTTCTTTCCTAGGTTTTTCTTCAGTGTGTTGGAATATTGAACTGGTAGTACACTTACTAATATTTAGCCCTTGTTTGGCCCCCATTAAAATTTTTAAAATTTTTCACTTTCTTAATTTTAACGACACATTCTCCAAATAAAATAATATTACACAAAAAACTAAAACTTTTCATTATTTTTCAACCACACATTCTCCCATCAATTACTATTCCAAAATTTATAAATTCTCCAAAATGGGAGCCAAACAATGACTTAAACTGAGCTCATCCTAGGTAACAAAGATTGAACGATACAAATTAATATAACTGGACCAAAATATTTGAAAAAAGGCTTATTGAATTGAATTAACTGGTTAGGTAGATAGCACCAAACTGAGATCCAGTGCTTTGACATATTAATAATATGATGGCGAAATATTTTGACCCAAATGTCTGTAATGGTCTATGGATAACACTATCCAAAGAAAAGTAGTTGTTATCAGCTTAAAATCTGAATCAATCAGGTAGTTGCTGATTTAAACTCGCGATTCAGATTTTATTAGATAACGTATAGAAGTGTACAACAGATAGTGTGCAATGAGTAATTTTCAAGAAATAAATACTTGCATGATGAGCAGAAAATACACGAGCTAATTTTTATTGAGATTAAACAGAAAACAAAAAAACAACTGATATGTTTATAGAGCAGGAATATGTCATGCCTTTGACTTCAATTCAGCAGATATCCCTAATGCTTCTGGCTGTCTGAGTTGCCCAGATTTTACACGAACGGCACAGCTAGTACAACAACCTGCAACGTTATGATTTGATATTCAAAGAAATTAGCAAAAATTACACACATTGCCGAAAGAAGGTCCAACAGGTCAATAATTATTCTTTTTCCTGATCTTGTAGCTTCAGACAAACCATACACTAGCATAAATTGCTTTAGTATTAACAGCCTCATGAAGTCCAGCCTATTATAGGTCCTCATTTTGTTTCTTACTCCATGAAACCAGTCGACAAGAATGCAAAATTACAAATTAAGATGAAGAACACTATCATAATCAAAATCTCAACTAGAAACTAGGATACTATGTTATAGGTTAACTTTGAGCTTTACAGCCACTAATCTGCTCCAACCGTCTCCAAATAGATTATATCCTTTCACGCCACGTATAAAAAATTAAAGTTCCAACATAAATAACAAAATGTATATGTATTTAAGCTAGATAGTAAGAATTGATTCATGTAAAAAGTCCATTCCTAACCTCTTTTAGCCCAAATTATAGACATCTGTTTGGAAAAAAAAAATTACATCAGCTTTTCTGCACGAGACACTGTCGATAACTAATCATGCAATTGGACATAGATGCAACATTGGCATGCATCAACAATTTAAGTAGAGCTTGTTCCCCACACGAGTGATCCCAAAGCAGTCAATTGCACTTTACGTTTCACAATTAATACCAATTTTATTGAAATCCTGTTTACACTAAGTTCAATTTATGAATTCTAAACTAATGATTTGTTTTGACTTTTCTTTTTGTGAGTTTTCAAACTGATTCAAATAAAGTGGATTCTTCATAGGCTTCAAATCATGTAACTAGCTGATAGTATTTCTTTGCAAGAAATTTCTCCAAGCCTCACATAAAACCATGAATGAGGGACATAGAGAGACAAAAAGATTTGAAATCCGCCTTCTTATATGATTATATCTGTAAAAACTCATTTTTTTTTCTCTCATTTAAATTTGGTATTGCTATATGCAAATGAAATTAATAACAAAAGTATGCAAGTGGACATCTTATAATAGTGAGGAACTTTTACCGCAGCATATGCACTGAAACTCAAGTCATGAAATAAAATTTGGCCAAAGTTCAAAAAGTAGTAGAGCAGTAATCTGCATAATGAACGTTACATGATCCAGTATACCTTCTTGAATACCTACTCTTGCACACATGCCTCCTTAATTCATTGGGTAGCGACCCTAATGCCTAGAGTTTTTGAGGATCATCCTTGAAGTGGGCTCAGATTTCCACCCTGTTTCTCCCAAGTGAAGATGTGATAGGTAGTTGTCTTCTGCCAGATCCATATCAGCTTATTTTGATCAAATTCTGTATTTTGACTTGGTCAATTATTTTAATTTCTACATAAAGCCCCTTACGCAAATCACATTTTCAAAGGAAGTGTACAAGCTATTTCTCCCTTGTGGTATAGATGACTTTTCCATTTCCTGCCTCTAGGTGGCTTAGTAGTAGGGGCCTTATCGTGAGTTGGAGATCCCTTAGCTAGAACCTGATTCACCATTGACAATTTGAGTCACATCCAACACTATCTAATGGGCAGCATTATGTAGAAGTTAAATTTGCGACTGAGTCAAAATATGAAATTTTTGTCAAGATGATCTCATCAGAACTTGGTAAAAGCCAACTACTCCGTCACATCATCACTTGGGGGGTGGGGGGGGGGGGGGCACCGGTGTAAGTTGGAGGGTTTGCAAACCTCTCATTTCTAAGACCACTCCAAAGATTATTCCTATAACTAAAAGCACTAAGATCACTACACAAGCACCTAATAGGCATGAGGCCAAAGGCTCACAATACAAGGTGTTACATTAGTACATGGAACTTTCATTTATGTAGTACTGAAATAGTTAAACTTTTTGAACAGTATATAAAATCCATTTCCTGACTAGAGCACTGGAGTGCCTACCCTTGGTGGCTCTTGCATTTCTCCTTGCCTGCTTTGTGTTGCCAAATTGAGAGTATAACGAGCTTTCAGTTCGTGGAAAGCAGCAGATTTCCTTTAACATACACATAAAAAGGCAATGCAGCAAGCATATAGAACCCAGAATTAAATCATTTTCCTTTTCTAGCTTTGCCAATACTCAATCTTTAAAATTGTTTGAAATTGCATGTAAATCTATATAAACTCAAATATGATACAAAAGAAATTGCTCAGTATATATACTGAATGATAGAAGAATACCGTGCCTACAGGCAAATGGGAGATTTATGCTCTGAGACTCTGCTGTGTGTAATATATACTGATCCTGCATTTCAATGTAATTCACCATTACACAACATCAACTTTACACAAGTAAATAAATAGAAAATCTCTATACAAACAAACATACAACGTATGTATTTGTGTAATAAAGCTAATTGTATTCCGTGAAATTCCTGCCTTGTGGTGCCTGTTTGAGCCCCATTTTTGGTGTGGAATATATCTTGGAAATGTATTTTGAAAAAGATGGGACCAAACAAACATATGCGCATGTGTAATAACTCAAATTGCAACCCACATGCTCGTGGAATGCCTGTCTTGTGATTAATAAGCACTTTGAGCACCCTCGTCTTACAAGCCAATTTTAAGATTGTTACAATTTATACAAAATGCACAAACAAGAAATCATTAATGACTCTAATTGTGTTCCACGTCACTCGTGAAAGATCTGCTCTCTGCATTTATATGCACTTTGGACACCCTCCCCTTGCAAGCACGTAGCGGTGAATACAATTTGTACGAAATCTATATACAATATATGTATTTTTATACCTCCGGTACAAAGAACTCATGGACAACGCCTCGTTGGCGGTCGTGTACGGTGACTTTGTGGGTTGGAACTGCAGGGGAGTAGCTGCTACCGTTTTGGCCGGTAACTGCCACCTGGGTTCGGAGCTCCGACTTCGTTTTGAGGGAATTGGACGGGTAAAGTGAAATTGAGGTCCAGAAAAATGGCCGATGGAGTGGCGATTTGAGGTATAGGGAAATGCAGGCGTTACAGGGATGAACTTGAAGAAGATCCATTACTGCGCTTTAAGTATGAGGTTCGTCTCTCTTTTTGAGGCAATTCAAGGATAAAATCGTTGGTCCCTTCTGGAAGTGATTGTTTAGTTTTCTGTTTTTATTACAAATAAATTTGCTTGGAAGTTGAAAAACACTTTTTAAAATAAATCACTTTTTAATATTTAAAGTTAGAAATAAGTTACTTATCTAACTATTTTCAATAGAAAATTCTTTTTACTTGAAATATAAGATATCTAACCATGTTGAAAATATAAAAACTTCCCAAAATAAAATTGTTTTGATCTTTTTGACTTGATTTCTAGCATGACGTTTTGTCGGTCTTTAGCTAGAAAAAAACTATTTTGAAGAAAGAACCTCAAGGATTGTGCCTCCAAATGGCATCACAAGATACTAGACAGTAAACTCGGTGGTAGTACTTTTTGATTAAGATGAATTTAAGATTAAATTTTAGGGTAATCTACAATTTAGAGTTCAGTTCACATCGACGTCCATTTTCATGGTGTTACCAGTGATGTAAGTGCGAGCTTGGTTGTGCCACCAAGCATAATGTCCATATTTTTTAACTTTTGCTCAAGTCTACTTCGAATTATTAATTTGCGAAGAGTGTTTTATATCTCTATGAATTTTTAAAGCTTTTCTTTAACTCTTGTTTCTCTCCTCTTTCTATACTTTATCCTAGGGCTAAAATACATTCTTATTCTCGACACGTCTCGTAAATACACGAGTTATTATTTATATTACTACAACGTCATCATTTTTCTATACTAGATAACGGCATTGATTGGATAATTTAAGATTCATATTACAAATTTGAGGATTTTTCTTGTTGCATGCGTGGAAGGGAGTCAAGCCTACTATCGTCTTTCCCTATTCAATAAGTATCATAATTTTTTTTTCTACAAGTGTTTCTTTAATTGTTTTTAATCAATGTCACTCTATTAGGGATCTTTTAAATTCACGTGATCAACATTTCCTTGAACTTAGATGTAAATAAACATTTAACCTCGACTCTGATCTTCTAGTATATCAATTATATTCCCTTTAACAAGTGTACATCCTCTTTTAAATGAATTCCACGAAATTTGCAATTATAATACGACTGTAGATTGCGGACAAAATACAGTTACTTGAATAAAAATACAATTTATTTACATTTCTTATCCGAAACTGAGATACAAACTCCTCTTGCTATTCCAAATATAACATAAAAGCAAAGGTAGAATTACATTTGACACTTGACTTCACAGCGTAAAGCACAACAAATTCTTAAGCATATCCCTCTTGGGCTGAGAGTGGGGCATATGATGCAATAAAAACATGTGGTAATTACATAAAATAGTACTTTAAGTTTTTAAGCACAACAAATTCTTAAGCATATCCCTCTTGGGATGAGAGTGGGGCATATGATGCAATAAAAACATGTGGTAATTACATAAAATAGTACTTTTAAGTTTTTAAACTTCCAAATCAGATTGGAAGTTTAATATNTGGAAGTTTAATATTTCCAAAATCAGATATTTTTATTAATTAATATATTATTACTAAATAAAACATATGATTAAATTAAATTAATTTATAAACCAAATCCTAACTCCCTCCACCCACCTCTCATTTCCCCAAACCCGTCTCTCTCTAAACTCTCCTCTTGCCGACCGAAGTCGTGGACTCGCCGGCGAAACCCGTCTCTCTCTTAACACTCTACCCACCGCCGTCGATCCTCCACCCACACCCTTCAGCGTCGAACGGCAGCGCAAGGCCGCGACGCTACTGCCGGCGTCGCAGCAGCGTCGCGCTGCAAATTAGGGCAGCATCTAAGGGCGACGCTGCCCTAATTTGATTGCAGCAGCGTCGCCCTAATTCGCGACGACCGTCACCACCATAGCCTCCGAGACCGTCGCCATCGAGATCGCATACCGGCGTCGACAGCGATCTGCCCGCCTTCTCTTTGCAGCGAACACGCTAGAGATCTGTTGCGTAGCTGCTGCGACGACTTCCTCCTTGCAGCGATCTGCAAAGCTCCCGTGGTGGTGGCGACGATTTAATGGTATTGGTGGCGCTGGTGTGTTGTTGCTTTGTGGGACTTTGTTGGTGGTGGCAGCGGTGCATCTATATAGGGTGGGCTGTGTTGATGGCGGTGTGGTACGAGGTGGTGTGAGGTGGTGGTGTGCGTTGGGGTACGAGGTGGTGGCGGCGGCGTAGATGTCTATGGGCTGAATTCAATGGATACGGTTGAGGTCAGAAAGTGCCTTTGTTGCAACGATTGCTGCGCTATCTGGGGGAAAATCGTCGAAGCTTTTGGGGTAGTTAGCTGGTGGTTTGAAATGGTGGCAATGTTTGTAGTTGGT